GGGCCCGCGGTGCGGGAGGGAGTCGCTCTGCGGGGACGGGGGGGGGGCAGCGGGTACCCCCCCCGCCGCGGGGCGTGGGTGCGCTCCCACCCACCCACCCGTGTGGCAAACGCCCCGCTCCTCAGCGGTTTTTGGTATTTTCAAGGCGCCAGACCCGTTTTGCTCTTTCCAGCTCCCTGGAGGTGACAACGAGCATCTCCCTTAATAGTTATATTTAGCAAAAAGTAACGGGAGGTTTTTCCATGAGCTGTTGATGGAGCTGGAGGCGAAAGCCAGGACCTGCAGGGATGGAGGGTGACCCGGGCTGCCCCCCGACCCTGCTCAGCATGGAAGCAGAGCCAGCCTCGTGTCACCCCAGGGGATGCCATCACCCCGTGCCCACTGTAGTGCTTGCCACCATCTCCTGAAAGAATTACCGATACTTTTGCTCAGGGAGGGTGTCTGTATGTGGGGATGGATCAGGACCTGCACAGTGTGCGGGTTGAAGCCAGCTGTGCATCAGGCAGAAGGTTGGACCAACCACCAACAGTCCCTTCCAGCCTAAATTACTCCATGACTAGCCAAAAACATTAGCAATAAGATCCTTAAACTCCTGCTTCACCAGTTAAAATACTAAGCAGCATAACTAAAAGGAGCTTTACATTAAAAATAAGTAAATCTACTTTTCGGCAGAAGAATTTAGGATCCTGAAGTTCACATGCAGCCCTCCGGTACCTATTAACGCTGGACTCTCTCTAGAGACCTCAGGATTTTTCCTGAAGCTCCAGCTTCACCTTTCAATTACAACAAAAGAAAGTGTACAGCCCTTGTGCTCGACACAAGTGAAAAAAAAAGCATGGCCCAGCCCTGAAAGGCTCAAAAAACCCCCTAAATTTTATTTACAAAAAACAGCTGACTTGTCACATGAAACCTCCTGGACTTGGCACATTCAGGGCTGGCACAGCAGCAGGAGGGAGCTGCCCCACACTGAGAGCAAAGATCTCAGCGGCAGAGCTGCCCCGTCCAACCAAACCACGTCATTTGTGGTCATTCCCCCAAACTCGCAGTGATCGATGCCTGATCGCACTTGGATGGGCAGGGAGCCCCGCGGGACCCTGGGGAGAGGGCCTTTACCAGAATAACCATTAGCGGAGCAGCCGGAAAGCAGATCTGGGAGGCATCAGCATCGGGAATGTGAAATGGGGCCTCAGGGACACAGCAGGACATGTGGAGCGTCGGTGGGGACACGCCAGTGGAGGCAGGTCCCTGGGTGCCCTTGGCATCCTCCCCCTCCCCGGGTATTTTTAATGCAATTACATCCCAGGATGCAGAGCTAAAATTGGAACATTATGTGGACAAAGTATCCCAAAAGTCTCCCTTGTCTTAAAAAAAAGAAACTGCTGTTGCTTTGATTAGACAGCAGCTCCCTGTCCCAGCTCTTGTTGCAGTGTTCAAAAGGTCTGTCCTAATTGCACGCACGCTTGTCTCATTCACTTAGTTTCTGCTGTGCCTGTTCTGCTTCTCAGGTGTCAGGACCATAAGTTTGGTGATTCATGGCTGGGACAGGTCACTGCACATGTGAGGACCTGTGTCCCCTTGACTGACAGATATTTTGGGGCAGATTTCACCTTTTCAGCAAAGCACTGAGGATCTGGGGGGGGGGCGGCGGCTATTTGGCACCCAGCACCTCAATATGGGCCCCCTACCTCGGCTGAGGTCCCCAAGAAGTCCTCTCCATGGCCAGCGCAGCCCTCACACTGTCTCTAACGTGGTGGTTGTACTCATGGTGCCCACGCAAGGGAAGGAGGGGAAACTGAGGCACAGTGAAGGTTAAATGACACCCCCCAACCCTCCAAGGTGACTCAGGGGCTCTGAGCCAAACCCAGCACCAAGCACAGGGTCACTGCATCCCAGGTCCACTGCCCTATCCCACCCCAGGGTCAATGAAGCCAACCCTTTGTCTTCTCCATGGAGGACCATGAGCAACCTCCTCTTTTGGGTGGTCTTCCCAAGGGGCACAGAGCTCCACTGGGATGGGGGGGCTGAACTGCCACTCACCCACCTCTGCCCAGATTTCACCTGGCTGATCAGCATCAATGACACCTCCCCGGGCCCACGATGCCCCCCCCTGCTATTTGCACTTTTGCTGCCCTTTGCTCGGAGCCACTGAGGGCTGCGCCGGCCCCGCAGGGCCAAAGGCTCCTGCCGGGTACAAAAATCTCCCTGACAGATGTCCAAATCTCTCTGAAATAAAAGAAGGTCAGAGCAGCTTGGGTGTCACCGCAGCAGCAAGCGCTGTGTCAAAGCACCCATCCTCCCACTGCGCAGCATTTCCAGGACTCGCTGCCCACCCGGCACAGCAAGCCCCCATCCCGTCCCCCACTGTCCTCAGCCCTGGTCCCCAAGCCCCGGACACCCTGCAGACACACACAGAGCCCCAGCCCAGGACTGCAGCACTCCAACCTCCAAGTCCAAGGGAGCTTTTCCCCGCTAGTCCTCACTGGTCTCATTGTTCACAGTCACTTAGAACAACAAATTGATTCTGGGACTGCCATCCCCCCGTC